TAACGGTACCGGGTAATTGATACCCGCGTTGTAGTCTACGCTCTATTTCCTGAATTACATCTATTTATCTTTTAGATAATGGTCTGTTCAACAATTGTAAATGAAAAATAGGTCCAATATAATAAAATTGTATAATTATAATGGGTTAGATTTTATGTACGGGAACTACTTCTCTTCATACAAAATAATGGATAATTTCGGTACCCCCTATGAGGCCTCATAAGTAAGGGTTATTCTATGTTTAGAACATGATGGAATTTCCATGATTTGTGTGACGAGCTGAATATTGATGTGTAACATTCAAATTTTGGTGAGTGAGCGTAATAAAAAACAAGCAATTATCATAGTATTGCAAGCAATCCATAAGTCCCCTACCGGTTAGAACCCCATCAACATTCTAAAGGGCCATTGGCCATTCACTAATGTTTCAATTTTTCTATATTTTAAGTAAATTTGTTCGAAAAGTTCTTTAAAAGTGATCACAGGAAACAGTTTTTATGAACAGACAGACAGACGGACTGAAGGACACTCTAAAGTTAATATTTGAAACATCCCTGTTACCAAAATATAAACATTTTTAAAAGCAAAATTCTTAAAGAGGAGATAACTCTTGAATTAAAGATGCAATTTCATAAAAAAAATTCAGCTCTTTTTGACTTATCACAAATAATGTTATATTTGCCATGTTTTAAGCCTTGCCAAGGCAACCAATATTTTTTCAAAATAGGGAGAACAGGTAAGACATGCATAATCTCAAGACTGCCATCTACCCATATGTCAAGTTTCATAAAAATATTTCCAGTACTTTTTAAGTTATCACTGGATCCAGTTTATGTGTAAAATTTGCCATATTTTCAGTCTATTTGTTGCCATAGCAACCAGAATTTTCAACATAGGAAGAAAAGAAAAAGACGTGCATAATCTCCAGACTGCCATCTACCATATTTCAAGTTTCATAAAAATATTTCCAGTACTTTTTGCGTTATCACTGGATCCAGTTTATGTGTAAAATTTGCCATATTTTAAGCCTATTTGTTGCCATAGCAACCAGAATTTTCAACATAAAAAGAAAAGAAAAAGACGTGCATAATCTCCATACTGCCATCTATCCATATATCAAGTTTCATAAAAATATTTTCAGTACTTTTCAAGTTATCGCGGGATCCAGTTTTGTGGACGGACGGACTGACAGACGGACAGACAGACGGACGGAGGGTAAACCTAAAGTCCCCTCCGGTAAACCGGTAGGGGACTAATAATGTTTAAGTAACTATGATTTTTGTACGGGAACTGCTCGCATGCCAGTACACATACTGTGTAGGTTTTTAACCATTTGTGCATTTCATTTTTAAAAATACAAGCACGGTTTTTAAATAATTTGTCAATACTTATTTATAAAAATAACCACAAATAGAAGTTATCATTAAACTTGTTTTGTACATGGTATACAGTATACTATATGTGTTGAAAGATTCAAGGTTTTGTTTTCTGGTTAGTCCCTAACATTCATACAAATGAACCAAGGGAATCCTAGGAGTATATATACTGGTCGGAGACCATCAACCGGACACTTTTGGAACATTTTTCGGTACAGATTTCATAATTTTTATCCTAGAGACTAAAAAAGTTGACATAGTTCAACTAGGTTCTTCTCCTAACTAACAAACTAGTTTGTTTATTTCTGATTGTATTGACACTTATATCTGAGGCTTGACAAGGAGGGTATCAAAATTACCTAAATTGTCTACACTACAGTACCATGTATCCGGACAGATATGTACATGATGTGATTTAATTCAGATAAAAGCTTGGGTGTTTTGATTTTTGATTTGTAACATGATATACAATATGTCAGCAAACAAATGCTGAAGTTTTGGATATTCTATTATTCACTCTGCAAATGATTATAGCTGGTATATTGAGGTCAGCATTGCTTTCTTGACCCCCGAATTTCAATGTCAACATACTTGAAATAGACATTAAAATATTACCATTTATAGAGGTTGAAATAAATTTATGTACTTAATTTTAAAAGAAACATGCACTTATTGTTGATAAAAAAGTGACTGACAACCACTAAACAAAGAAAATACAAAATTAAGCATTTTCGGGGCCGTCCGGGTTTGGTGGTTGTCCGGTTTTGGTGGTCCCCAACCAGTAAGGTCTTTAGTGTATTACATACAGGTTTTACTTATGAAAAATACATAGGGGTCTAATCCAGGAGATTGCCGAACCGCCTTACCTATAACCAAATCTAAATGTTCACTAGGTCTATGCCAGATACTTTGCCAGCGCGCAGCGATACAGAAAATACTAGAAACCGAAACTAGGGATATAATTTTTATATACAATTTATATATATGACAGGTCCAAAAAATGTAAACAAATTTTCACACAAACTAAAATAACGGTACTGGTTGGGGACCATCAAAACCGGACAACCACCAAACCCGGACGGCCCCAAAAATGCTTAATTTAGTATTTTCTTTGATCAGTGGTTGTCAGTCACTTTTTCATCAACAATAAGTGCATGTTTCTTTTAAAATTAAGTAAATAAATTTATTTCAACCTCCGTAAATGGTAATATTTTAATGTCTATTTCAAGAATGTTGACGTTGAAATTTGGGGGTCAAGAAAGCAATGCCTGACCTCATATACCAGCTATAATCATTTGCAGAGTGAATAATAGAATATCCAAAACTTCAGCATTTGTTGCTGACATATTGTATATCATGTTACAAATCAAAAACCAAAACACCCAAGCTTTTATCTGAATTAAATCACATCATGTACATATCTGTCCGGACACATGGTACTGTAGTGTAGACAATTTAGGTAATTTTGATACCCTCCTTGTCGAGCCTAAGATATAAGTGTCAATACAATCAGAAACAAGAAAAGCATTGATGCAAAGCATCAAAGGGCGTCCAAGCAAGAAATGCAGCAAGTGAAGATGAACTAGTACACATATGATGACAAGATATTCTTATAAACTACCAGAAATGTATACCACTTATGAATGCAGCGGACGAAAAGACATTGTTCATTATGAAACTTTATTGGCATGCTTAGGGATTAGAATATTACTTGATTTTCATTTCTTTATGATCGTGGTTATTAATAGCAACGGATTATACATTATGCAATCATTTATAATCCATATGTGTAACGCATGATCAACACGTACCACACATTTTGTCCCTTATATGTACATGTTATTCGCTATTAGCGAAGACCCCCTTAAGGATCTGTTCACACTTTAAGTTTAGTAAAAAATAATGACACTAGTTATATTACCATGTTGAATCATGTTAGCATTAATTGTTTATTATACAATAATCTTGTAATATCTATAAATTTTTATTAAAAAAAAATACAAATTTTTATGAATATTGTTTTCTTTTATTCTTTTTGTGTGTTTATGTGCTATTTTTATAATACTGAGTTTCATTTACTAATTTCTTTTTTATTAAAATTGTAAAATAAATTTTTAAGAATTCAATTGTCATATTGACCGACGATTATAAGTCAAAGCTTAACTGCGAAAAAGTCAGTAAATTATGGTTTATCTTTCAATATATAATATTGTTTATTTTTCATTAAACCATGTACATGTACATTGTATTTTTTCTTTATCATTTTTTTTAAATTATCGATCAACTGAATAATTCATAAAAATCTTAATTTGTAACTTTGAATAATTTCCTCGGCATCTTTACTAAACACGGATAACAAATTGAATAATTTAATAAAATGTTTCAAAGTTGATAATGTCATTTTAATACCATAAAAAAATGTACCTTTTTCTCAATTATTGTACATATCACGGATTTATATTACATATAAATCCGTCTTGTACATATTTATTGTTTTTATCTCATATAGAATAAAATGAAACATGCTATTGTTGTTTTTTTCTAATTGTAACAATATTCAAACATCTACTCCAAAAACCAGAGAGAGACCGGACAATAAACGTGTTGGTACTATTCGCCGGTCACTAGTTAAATCCTGGTCAAAATAGACCGGGAGAGACCGGGCATTTTACCGATAGGAGTTATAAAAAGATATATCTATAAATAGGTTTTTGGAATATTTAGGTCATCAAACTGATCATTTCTAGGATACATGTACAACAATAACATACCATGACATGATTAACCGACTGTGTACTACAAAATGATAAATAAAAAACCCCGAAGAGCGCGATATTATTGACGGAAAAGGTTATTTCATTTATAAATGTTTGCATTGCGAAAATTCATTGTAACATATCGCGACATTTCATTCTTATTTAATAATCAAGCAGCACCCTCATACCGATCGGAATTTTCGGCTTTTTATTATGACCGACTAAAATGGCTCGAGAAGTTGCTGTCGCCCTTTCACAAAATCTTGATCTCATTCCATTAAGAGCGGACGCGCTTCGGCGCGGACGCCAATAAGGGGTAGCACACCACAGTAATGTAAGCCACAGCTTCGAATGGCCAGGGAGGATTTCTTGGATATAGTGAATATTCTGGATTTAAATGACTGGTTGTCTTAAAATGCATTTTCAGCATAAAATTTGTTTTTGTGACATTCTAATATGATCACTGGCAAATTCGAAAAACATGGCCAGAAATCACATGCTGTTGATTATGAATGTCAAGGCCGCCATTTTTTTGTAAACATTGCTTTTTATACAGCATGCACGGTAAAAAGAAGTCATTTTACAGGGGGTGCAAATTTTTAGCAGTAGCAAAAAATCTACCTGGTTTGAGGATAGTTTCTTTGTGATATTTTGCATGTATAGGGAGTTGCTAAAGCAGAGACGGTGTTCCTTTAGCCTGTTACATTTGCCAGATATTTTTTTGCCAGAGGGTCGAAATGTGTTGTTTTGGGTCTCGGGCCACTGTAGATTTTGGGCTTCAACGGAATGAATTGCAAAATTTTTTGACTGCCTGCCTATTGCAGATGGGATAATTTCTTTGTAGATTTGCAATCTTATGTCATATATTTCTCAACAAAATGTGTTTTCTTTTTCCAGGTTGTGTAGTTTGGTATCAGAATTATTAGACGTATTGCTTGTAGGACATTGACGGCAGGAACTTGAAATTAACTGTGGAGTGCTACCTTAAGGTAAAATGATTTTTTTTTTCAAACCTTGTTTTTTCGCATTTAACTTTGTTGTAAAGGCTTTATCATGCACACTGACCAAAATGATGGTGAAATTTCATAAAAATATTTGTCACAGAGCTTGAAATTAGGTTTTTAAAAAGGGAGCGGTAACTCAAATACATGAAAACCTAAATGTGAAATGTATGAAAGGTGCTGTGTCTGCCATGTGTCTTAAGTCATAATTGGACTACTTATTCCAGGAGAGACAGCTGTGGGAGAGTGAAAATATTCACATATAGAGCTATTCGGTTGATATTTTCCTGATTTTCCAAACTTTTTTGGTGGAAAAAGGCATGTTTTTATTGCATTTCAGCTGTACATGTAGAATATGGCCATCGGGCGTGTTCCCATGTGATGCGAAATATTTTCGTGCGAAGGTGGATATGTTTGCTTGAATCATTTACAGGTGCAAATGGATGTTAAAGCTCAGGTTTTCGGGTTAGATTTTTGACCCATTTTGGAGTTGGGCATGCGAGATTGAATAGTCGGAGAATTTGGTTTTCAGCGTGTCGCTTGGTGAATTTCGATGCCCTGGGCGACCAACATTGATAGATCTACAATGCTCAGAGGGCCATGATAAGTGCTGTGTCTCTTTGAAATTTGACTTTACATAAAACCTTTTATGAAAAATTGTGTATGCTACTTCGACTTTATACTGTGCAGGATTGAAATAAAACATTTAGCACATTTTGGTGTCTGGGCAAGAAACATTAATCTGTTGTATTTTTTGCCTTATATTGAAGCATGAAGCCATATATTTACTTAAACTGCTATGCCAATTTGTTGAATATTTACTTTCATATTAGATGTTATAAGGACATATTTGAACATTTGATTGTATAGATTGGTATAAAAGAACCAGATTGTGTACACTTTTACATTGGGAATACTTTCTTATTCTACATGTACTGAAAAAGGCTTGCCGAGGGCTGAAAATGGGATGAACAGCATAGTTCATTTAAGGCATAGATAATGAAAAAACAAACAATTCCCAGCAAAAATTTTCATTTTGTTTATTGAAATATGCATGAATTTGTAGAAAAAGTCCATATAAAGGTCATCAATCAATGTTTATGATGCCCCTTAAGGTAGCACACCACAGTAATGTAAGCCACAGCTTTCTCGAATGGCCAGGGAGGATTTCTTGGATATAGTGAATATTCTGGATTTAAATGACTGGTTGTCTTTAAAATGCATTTTCAGCATAAAATTTGTTTTGTGTGACATCTAATATGATCACTGGCAAATTCGAAAACATGGCCAGAAATCACATGCTGTTGATTATGAAATGTCAAGGCCGCCATTTTTGTAAACATTGCTTTTTAACAGCATGCACGGTAAAAAGAAGTCATTTTACAGGGGGTGGTGCAAACTTTAGCAGTAGCAAAAATCTACCTGGTTGAGGACTAGTTTCTTTTGTGATATTTTGCATGTATAGGGAGTTGCTAAAGCAGAGACGGTGTTCCTTTAGCCTGTACATTTGCAGATATTTTTTGCCAGAGGGTCGAAATGTGTTGTTTTGGGTCTCGGGCCACTGTAGATTTTGGGCTTCAACGGAATGAATTGCAAATTTTTTGACTGCCTGCCTATTGCAGATGGATAATTTCTTTGTAGATTTGCAATCTTATGTCATATATGTTCTCAACAAAATGTGTTTTCTTTTTCCAGGTTGTGTAGTTTGGTATCAGAATTATTAGACGTATTGCTTGTAGGACATTGACGGCAGGAACTTGAAATTAACTGTGGAGTGCTACCTAAACAAACTAGTTTGTTTGTTAGGAGAAGAACCTAGCTGAACTGTGTCAAATTTTTTGGTTCTCTAGGTTAAAAATTATGAAATCTTACGGTAAAAATGTTCCAAAAGTGTCCGGTTGATGGTCTCCGACCAGTAACTTACATTTTAAACAACCCTTAAACAAGAATTACGCTAGAAAATGCATTTTTCACATTAGCTTCTGATATACAATAATGAAAGTGGGTTTTTCCAGACAGGTACAGTGGTTACCCACAATACATCGGGTATGGGCGATACTAAACTGCTGACGAAATAGCTAGCGACATAGAAACTGTGGGACTAGTTAGATAAAGAAGGGGGCGAAAATGCTGACCAGTTAAACATGTAGTGAAATTGCTGACCAGTTAGACTATATATATAGTGAATAAGTGACCAGATATATAGAGAAAATGAATATTTGTCTTGAAATTGTTTTTCTCTTTTTTGTCTGCAATGTTAATAGTGTATAACAGTGGTGGTCAGGGGCTGCAGCCCCCGCAGCTCTGCTCCAAAGATACGTTTACCAGCTGGGCTGGAATATATTATTGTCAGTTTTCATACTTTATTGGCTGCAAAACATTTATTAACTGTCACCAAGTTGTTAATCTCCTGCATGGGGGCTTGGTAGAGATCTTTATCTATCACATGCTTGAATGACTTCATGCATAATTGATTTGGTTTATTATTTTCCAAAGAAATAAATGAAATTAATAGTCACAAATAGTGGCAAATAGATGTTTTACACAGTACACAAACATTGTTTTCTTTGGGAAAGCCCTATAATTAAGAAACTGAAAATTATGATGTGTAAATTAAAAAGGTGGCGAGTTATTATTATTTTTTGTTGTTTTTTTTGTTCTTTTTTTAAAGATAATATCACGGAGCTATATCTGTGATAATATTAAAGGAATCACGTTTAAATAACTAGTTTTACTATGATTTTTATTAAGATGAAATGGCTGGTCATTTGCTTTTAATAACTTTGGCTGTAATATATTTCAAATAAAATTAAAACTGTACTGACCTCTTTAGTCATAATCAAAAATGGATTCATTGGTGGAAAGAATTCTTATTGAATATTAAAGTTTGAAATTATTTCATTTTTTGTACAATAGAAAGGCAGTATTTTAATAACAGTTTATTTAGGAAAATCGTGTTTTATTCATATGAGTAAATTGATTGAATGTTTGTATTTATTTTATCAACGGTCGCGTATACATTGGTAAGTGTGCTGTTATTTTGTAAATGCTCACTACTAAACACCAGGAAATGCTATTTGAAAGACCCTACAAACACTAACGTATACAAAATACTGTGTGATGTAAAACCATCCAAAGGTACCATAAACAGCACTGGAAAGTCAAGAAAATAACACCATTTTCATCCTAATATTTCAAAATTTTCTCAGTCTATCGGAGGGGACACCCCTACAGGCCCACCCCAATTACAAATATTTTCTAAATTCCATATCCTCTAAATATTTAAAAACAAACATTAGTATACACATGTATAAGCAAAGTACATTGCCAGTCATAAGATGAGCTATAAAACACATCAAGTACATTTTTGTCACATGAACAAGATGCTGGCACAATTCTCGAATGTTGCATTATTTTTGTCAAAATTGACCACCTATATGTCACCCCCCCCCCCAGGAAACCATGTTCTGTATCCGCCCCTGGTATAAAATTATGGTACAATTGAATTAATAAAAACTGCTGACTAATTAAATATTAATTCAAATTGATAATTTTAAGCCTTAAACATATAGTAGAGTCTGCTGACCAGCTAGATATATAGTGAAAATGCTGACCAGTTAGATATAGAGAGAAAAATCATATTTTGCCGTGAATTTCTTATTTATACTTTTTTATTATTTTTATTATCATGCATAAGTATACTGCTCAATTTTACATAATCATTATCATCATTTTCTGTTACAATATTTTAATCTTTGTACATATGTTATACGATCTATGAATAAAATTTGCAATTTGCGTCTCTTTTGTTTGAGTAATTGTTTAAATATTTTTGTCATTATAACATCATTTTCACCTGAAATCTGTTTGACTCAGTGTATATAAGTTTTACACAATTTATTAAAATGTCGTGCATGTTACATATATAGTCCTTTTAGCATTCCCCCTATCTTGATAAAAATATTACTCTATACAAGTTTCCCATATTAGATCTAGATCTATTTAGACTTTTCCAATACACTATAATAATATAATATAATAATATAAGAAGATAATAATAAAAATAACAACAAACAATTAATAAAAAATGAATAAATTTCCACTGTCTTACAACCGTCTTAATTAACCCCACAGCAACTTCACACCTTCACCGATTATCCTTCTTTATCTAAGTAAGTAAGTAGGTAGGTAAGTAGGTAAGTAAGTAAGTGAAGTGAAGTGAAGTGAAGTGAAAGTGAAAGTGAGAGTAAAAGTAAAGTAAGTAAGCAAGCAAGCAAGTAAGTAAATTGTTTATTATAGTGACATTGTGCATATATCAATTTCATGATAAGAATACATACAAACTGGACCTTAATGGACCTATAAGTCATCTTATTACATATTTACAAATATACTAACTGTGATCAATACATAGCTTTTAAAATTGAACATTTAAATGAGATCAAAGTTGTTGCTCGATCTGTAAATTACAGTATCACATTTCAGAAAATGGACAGTCAATAAATCATCATGTTTCACTATTGGCACGTTAAAAATCAAATACCTATTATACAGTAAATTTCTCATTAACACATATGCTTTAATAAGAAATTTTATTATTTTGTCCTGGTGATTTGTAATAAGAAATACTATTTTTTTCTTTATTTGTCATGTCGTTATATACATCATTTATAATAATGTTATTGAAATGTCATTGATCTTACATCATTATATACCGGACACACAATTAAGAAATGAGTTTTCATTTTCAGTTAATCCTGATTGGCATAAAGTACAATGTCTTTGTTTTGGCTTCTTCTCCTACATATCTTCCGGTTGGCAGAAATGCCGCACCGAAAACTGTGCATAAATTGAGCGTCCATTTCTTTTAAGAACTTGAGTAACAAAGAGCTTTCACATGAAAATTGCGTCTTTAATGTTTTGTAAGTCCTTAATTTAGACACCTTTTCATAGTCGATTGCCATGTATTTGCATAATACTCGAACAATTTCTATTTTATCTATGTGGTCAACAGTTTCCGATAATCCTTCTTCATTTAACTGGTCAGCAGTCTCCTATATAATCTATCTTCAGCTAACGCGACAGCATTTTAAATAGTGCGACCCATCGGGTATAACTAAAATACGCAACGGAGATTTTTGGGGCAACGGAGTAAGCAAAATGTCTGTTGATTTTTCTCAACACTCAAACCTATCGTGTTTATGTAATTGGAGTATAACGATTAAAAATTGTATAAAAGACATTCAAAGTGGCGATTTTGATGTCTTGAAAAATTAAACGCCAGTGAAACGGACATTTTCTCACAGAACGGAGAGATATTATTGTAAACATGTATTTTCTTTGAATTTTTTAAAAGTTTATTCATACCTATATTCATCCAAAAGTAAAAATGTCAGTTAATTCAGTGTAAGAAATTAAAACAAGTTTGTTTTGATGTATATTGGAAACTTTCAATTTCGATATTTTGAAGAATTGGATGTAGACGAACATAATGCATCAGTGATAAAAAGTTATATATAACTAGCACAATGTTATCACACTGATAAAAGTATTTATTGCGTATTTAAATCAAATACAGTTAATGACATCCTGTAAGAATTGATAAATTTAAAAGCATGTCTCATTTGATTGGATTTTCTTACTTCGAACAAAAACAAATTTAATTGTCAACAACTCAAATTTAATCAATGTCCAATGTCCATAGCAGAATATCACAGTATGTCCAATAACACCTCCCACATAGAATCACAGAATCCAAACTAATATATTACTAAGTTAACTGTATAATACCACACAATCAGTATATCAACATCACACAATATCACAAATTAGCACAAACCTCGAAGTACAACCATGCCTCATATATATACTATCAATGAACAATCTAGAATACTAAACTACTTAGTGAAAGAATATTCCAGAATGAACATGAAAAAAACTTTCTTGAAAGAAGATGAATGGAAATGAAAAATTATATAAACATCAAATTAACAAGATTATTAAAAATTGTAGTGGCATGAGTAGGTATCGGACCCACGACATCGAGATTATCAGTTCTGTGCTCTTCATATTGAGCTATTCAGTATATAGATACTAAACACATTTAAAATAAAGCCCATATGCACAACACTATTCATATGATCATGACTGTGAAAAATCATGTTTTGTGGACCTAGTAATCCTGCCGATCAATCTGATGTACCTCTCTAGTTTTTAGTGCTTACACTTAGTATTAAATTCAAAAGAAAATTTCTTAGGGGACATTTAACGATGGATTACGGTAAAATCATTATAACCGAAATACTAACTTAATTGAAATGCCCGTAACCACTGTGATATTTTTTTGTTCATGTGTTTAAAATACTAAAGAAAGTAGCTCTATATATTTTCAAAACGAAATACTGTATTTCCGAAACAATTTACAAAGGCTTTAATTCACTATCTCATAAATCATCGAATAACCAGTACCACCCACCTTATCTCCAGAACACAGGTATGAAAAACAGGACCAACAAGGAATGGTAGCTTTCAATGAACGCGACACCCACACGACTAAGCAACACAGGGGCACAGCTAAGTTATCACTGAAAAATTTACATTCAGGCTTTCAAGTTAAAAAAAGTTCTCATTCTGCTATCTTCAACAGTGTTCCAATTATAGACATAAATATTTATTTTTCTTACGTACTAGTGTTATGTAATGGAATTAAATTAAAATTGAATAAATTGAATAAATATATATAGTATACAGTCCAAAGAAAAGAGAATTTAAAATGGTTTTAAGTTGCTGCTGTAAATAACCTATAACCTATAACTCAACGGATGGCCATGGCTTTATGTTCAATAGCCGGGGCGTGGGGAGTCAAGTATTCATCGAGATCACTTGTCACTTGGTCAACTCGTTAGCTTTTGATTATTCCCTACTTTTTGTCTACGCATATTGATTCTGTCATTCATGTGATGGATATTGGCGTAACTAGGCATACATTTGTGGCACATTAGGCTACTTGTAATTCTTAAACACTAGGTTGACAACTAGATATGTCAATTTAGAACATTGATGGTTGTGTCTTTATCTATGTCATTTATTCATGTATGCTTTATAGAATAATAGGAAATACTGAACATATAAATAAATGCTTCTAATTGTTTCTATTTTTGTAAGACTACAATAACCATGCCTTCAATGTAAAAATTGAAAACAAGATTAACAAGGAAAGGTGGCGTTCAATGAACGCAACCCCAACACGACCCTACAACGTTTTCAATTTTGCCGTTTTGGTCGTTTTGTAGGGGTTCTGTTGTGCATTTTCTTGAAATTAAGAGCTGTTTCAAAAATAATAACCAAATAAGGAGAATGACCGAAATTGTTTTATCCATTATGTAAACAAAATATCTCTGTGACAAATTCTTAAAGCAGCATGCCTCCCGATTCATGCTAATTTTCATGAAAATTTTGAAATTTATTTAAAAGTAAAATACTGTGACGTGAACAAAGAAAGTTATTAACACATTGCAAACGGCACTTACAATCCACGTAAATTAACAAAAAGAGGTCAAGTATATATATAAATAATATTACTGCGTTAGTAATGCAGTAGAATTATAGTGATTGATATTGCAAAATCAGTCATTAATCGCACATAGCATGTAAATAATTAATTAATTATTGAATCTTTTTACTTTTCATAAGGTCTTAATACATATTTCTAAAGACTGAATTTCTTGAAATATTTTGGCTCATCTGGAGGCGTGCAGCTTAAACATATTCTGTATTCCGCTGTTCATTTTTATTTTAACCCGAAAGGTAATCATCAATGATGTATATCAATGTTGTATATTGCTACTGACTTACACTGTAAATTATTACATTTAAATGACATCAAAAGTGTTATAATACAATGAGAAACAGTATTCGACATGATATGTCATTTGTGCCTGTTTTTTTTTTTTTTTTGAAACTCAGAGCAATGAACTATAGACCAATTAAATCAAGAAACCTGACTTAAATACAGATTTTTAAAGCATATGGAGGTTTAATGTATCTCGGTCGGTGTCGATTTTCGGATTAAGTAAACTGCTTCCTACACATCTAAACTTAAACGTAATTTCTGACCTGAAAATAAAAAAATGCTACATGAAAATTTTGATTGAAAGAGTTATTGACTCGTGAGATTCAGGCCGTTCTGAAAGCACTGCATAATTGTGAAATGGCTTTTCAGCAACAGAGAATTTGTATAAGTAATTACTGTCATTGACTAGCAAGCATTGCTAACATTTTTTGCCGTAAACAAAACTCAGAAATAACCTATGCAACTTAAGCTGACAAACTTCATTTCTGAATATAAAAAGGATATCAAATCAGTTATTTTTACCGCCTCCGTGGTCGAGGGGTTAGAGTCGATGACTTCTAATCCAGTTACCTCTCTGGCGTGGGTTCGACCCCCGGGAGATGCTTTGGTAGTTTAGCACGAATGAAGGTAGTCTAGTACTGTTGTAAAACTCCAGGAACGATGGTTAGGAAACTACCCGCCTATATGACTGAAATACTGTTGGTAAAAGGCGTAAAATGAAACAAACAAACAAAACAAACAGTTATTTGTATCCTGCTGATTTTCCTACTTGTGCTGTTTTCCGCCTATGTTTAGAATCAACATCTTAGTAGGAAATTGTTCCTGTCCGCTGTACTTTTTCAAACGGGATGTTCCTATATTGCGTTATAAATCAATGTTTGTATTTTATCATGACAGTGGCATAATCGATATAATCCAAAACAATAAAAGATACAAGGAACAAAAAAGTTTTACCAATATAAAACAAACTGTAAAGGAAAGTTCTAAAACAATGTACAAGAATAAGGATAATTCTTAAACTTTTTAGTTAATTTGCAAATGATTACAAAACTCATAAAGTCAAACGTAAAACAAGAGCAATACCTAGCTAAAATAGAAGCTGTCCTACTATGAAACATCATCAGTTTCAGTTTTTATTAAACCTAGGCATATAATATGCAACTGGTTATAACAACAAACAAACAGAAAAAATAACAGTCAAATGTCATTAATATCACAATATAAGAATACAATTATGACTAACTAAATAAACAAAAAAGGAGATCATATTACTCATTTCAAGTACTGAATTCAATACAACATGTATTTTATATTGTAACAAATGAGAACGGAGAATGAGAAGTATTAGTTATCTAAATTTTAACATAATTTTTTTATAAAATAAAGATAATTTTAGTAGAATCTTTTTATCACAAATATCCATTAACGTCAATATAAATTGTTTGGCAGACATTTTTCAAATGCATTGAGAATACCCTGTTCTCTGTCCATAATAATGTTCACCGGTTTTTCTTTCAGTATTGGAATTTTGTCCTTAAGTATTTCAATAAAACTTTCATGACATTTATTTCGTCAGCGTTTTCCTTCTATATCTATATCGCCCGCTTTTTTACTATATGTCTATATTGTCCGCGTTTTCTGTAGCTACTTTATTAAGGCATTATACAAGGGTGAGGTGTATGATTACTTGAAATATACAAGTGTCGGTGCGTGATTAAGTCAAATACACAGGTGACACGTGGATACTTGAATTAGTTGATTGGTATTTATAGCAGAAAGTTTTTTTAGTTACTTAATGGATAAAATATAAATAAAACTAAAAAATATGGTGAATTAAATAAAATTAATTGATATAACTTAATTATATACATGGTAGAAGCCAGATTTTGTTTATTTATAACAGTTTTCTATTCTCCCGTGTTATACATTTATTTCGTCAGCGTTTTCCTTCTATATCTATATCGCCTGCTTTTTCACTATATGTCTATATTGTCCGCATTTTCTGTAGCCACTTTATTAATTATACAAGGGTTTAGTTACTTAATGGGTAAAATATAAATAAAACTAAAAAATATGATGAATTAAAGAAAATTAATTGATATAACTTAATTATATACATGATAGAAGCCAGATTTTTATTTATTTATAACAGTTTTCTGTTTTATACATTTATTTCGTCAGCGTTTAAATTATTAAATAATTAAATTCAGGGTATTTAAAAAGATTATTTCACTTCTTAAAAATATTTTATCCTTTTTGAACGCAAATTGACTCAGTCTAATCAAATTAGTTTTTCATCCGTTATGCATCATATAAGATTTTGTTTTATATATCTATATAAATATATCAGTACAATACTACTGCTTCTAACTAATGTCTTTCATATATTACTTTATAAAAGCCAATTATTCGCCTTTAATATAAATTTAACTATGCTCTGTCATTTTACACTATATATCTATATCGTCCGCTTTTTCCCCTTTGTCTATATCGTCAGCGTTTTCCCTATATGTTTATATTGTCCGCTTAAGGCGTCCGCGTTTTAGACTGTATATAAATATGCTATATATAATTTAATTTCAATGTTTACAAAATGGGAATTTTCATAGCTACTGTACAAGAAATAATTATTTAGTCATTGTTATGCAAGCACTTTTTTGTATCGAAAACTTAGAAATAATATAATTTTGCATGCTATGCCGAGTATCTTTTTTAAAAGAAACTTCTTGTTGCTACTTCAAATTCTTTGCGCTTGTTACAAACGACTCCAGTTGTGTCGAATAATCTGATTGGTTTAATTTTAAACTGCCTCACTGCGGATACCAGCGCGGAATACGACTTAGCCACTTCAGTTTTTGAAAATAAAATGTCAAATGATTAATAAAAAGGTAATAATATATATATGTGGAGAGATTTGTAAAAACATGCCATCTGCCTCCTGTTTCATTGTAATTGAATGGGCGTAAGATCATTTCTTTATGTAAATTAAAATACACACAATATTTTGTCCAGTGCTGCATCAAATAGCCTCGGGTGCCCTTATTCCGTGGGAGTCCTGGTTCCGGTGATTTTTGTTTACTTCCTGTCTCGCGCGAAATCGATGACGTCATACGTCAAGTGCTCGATAAAATTTTGTGTATTGCAGAACGCAAACAGCAAATAGAAAATCAGCTCAAAATGCGAACAAAGCAGGTAAAGAAGGGTCATAACATTTCATCTTGATGTAAATTTGTATTTTTTACTATTTCCAATTCATTGCTTTTAAAAACTGCCTATTTTTGCTGCAAAAACATCATTTGAAAATTTGACAGCTGATTTATGCTTGTAAACAAACCTCCATTGACATTTTCCCATCGTGCAATTTTCGGTAAGTTAGGGCTAAGCACATTTTTCATGAGTGGTTTTCAGACCTATTTCTTATGTGATTTTTTTTATCTTAAAATTGCTTTTCAGCAAAATCCAAAGAAAGTTCATCGTAAAAACAGGCTTTACTCCCCTACAGCATTGACAAATGCCTATATGCATATAAAGGAGCATGGCACATCAGTAAGAAAAGCTGCAAAACTCTATGGTGTCCCAGAGAGTACCCTTAGGGACAGAACTTTAGGGTTAGTTCATATTGATACTCTGTCTGCTGGTGGACAACCCTTGTTTGACGAGTATGAAGAGGCTAATCTTGTCAACCATTTCAAAACTATGGCAGGATATGGCCATGGGTACACAAGACAAGAGTGTGTTGATATTGCCACTGATTATGCTGTCCAGTTAGGTCGTCGAACTCAGGATAGACCACTCACGATGAAATGGATGAGAGGGTTTTTAAAAAGGTGGCCAGAGTTAAAGGTTGTAAAACCAAAAGTAGGTATTTTTTGTTTTATATTGAAATAATTCACATCTAATAATTAAATATATTCAAGTACAGTAGACCTATATCATAATATGCATTAAAAAATGTGTTATTCATAATTTGTATTCAATCAATTGTTATTCTTAATCATATTATTATTCTCCATTCTAGGGTCTAGAACACGCCCGTGCAAAAATGGCATCACGTGATACAGTGATGAAGTACTTCATTAACTTAAAAGAAACAATTGAAAACCACAAAATTGAACCGCATTTGATTTTCAACATTGATGAAAAGGCAGTCAAAGTTGAACATAAGCCTCCTAATGTAGTGGCAAGTTCTAGTTACATCCCTCTGCTGTTACCTCTGGCAAGGGACAGATTGTAACTTTGATTGGTGCTGGAAGTGCAGCTGGACAAGCTATCCCCCTTATCTTGTTTTTCCAGGACAGCGCATGAGGTCTGAGCTTATGATTGGAGCATCGCCAGGTTAATTATTTAATTTAAAAAAAAGTTAATTATTTAACAAATATCTTAATTTAATACTGATATTTTTAGCATATATGGTAGACTTTTTTCACAGTAAAATATTATATTGGCATAGTTAAATCAAACTATTTTTACATTTCAGGTGCTGATGGAACAGTTAGTGAAACCGGCTGGTCTAATGGCAGCATTTTTAGATATTATTTAGAACATCACTTTCTTAAATTTGTTCCTGGACGCAATGATAAGAAAATCCTTGTGATCTTAGATGGGCATAAGTCTCATGTGTCTGTAGGTCTCTCTGAATGGGCACATAAATTAGGAATTGTAATTTTCATATTGCCACCCCATTGTAGCCATATTCTTCAGCCCATGGATGTAGGATGTTTTGGCCCCTTTCAGAAAATATATGATATAAAATGTCACAAGCTCATTAGGGAAGTTTCATCAGTAATTACTAGATACAATATTTGCCAAGTATCTTGTTCATCCTATCTAGCTGCCCTTACCCCAAATAATGTCCAGGCTGCATTCCGCCGTGCAGGCATTTACCCGTTTGATCCCTTGGCCATTGCACAGGAGAAACTTCTACCTGCAGAGGTGTTCAGATCATGTTCTTCTGACACTGATGTCAGTGATGATAGCCAGGCAACAGTGATAGGTGGGGTCCAGTCAGAATTAAATGAAATGTCTCGGGACATTGTAAATTTCTTGCACCAGAAAGAGGCTAGTCTTAAAAGGGTAAAAAATGAAAACAAAACAAAACCAAGAAATACCATGAGTAAAATTGTTGCAGGTAAGGAAATCAATGAGTCTGTACTAAAACAAATGACTGAGCATGTTCAAAAACAAGGAAAATCTAACCTGTCAAAATCTAAGGTTAAGCCAAGTAAACAGCAAAAGAAGACCCCACCATCACCACAACCTGGGCCATCATGTATAAATCTTGTTGAAAATGTGTCAGATACTGACAGTGAAATTGAAATTGATGAGTCTGACCTTTGTTGTAAATGCAAAAAATTTACCCCAGTTGAACTGTTGAACTGCAATTTTGTAAAGTTTACAACATGGGGGCAGTGTGATTCTTGTGGCCACTGGGTGCATTTGATTTATTGTACTTCTGAAAGAGTCTTAAGGCGTGGAGATCACTTTGTTTGCCCATGTTGCAAGGAGGAAGAGTGAATTTGCATCCTTGCATATTTGTGACTTGATAACAAGATGTAAATAAACTTAATTGAAAATATACTTCATTGAGAATATGTGCAATGATAACTGATTAAAATTGTGAAAAATTTATGTTTTGAATAAGAATTACTATGTATAAAACATATGTACCTGTAGAACCCAATATAAAAATGTAAGTGGTCTAATTGTTGTTTTATTCGAAGTTACCCCCCTTGATTAGCATGTGTATGACGTCACCGGAATCAGGGCACCCTCTTTTTACAGAAGAATTTTTTGGAGGTGGTTAAACTTTTGAAAAAAAATCATGAACTACTTATGCTATTTTAATAAAAACAAAGGCATTTTGAAGGTAAGTTATTTGTTTTTATTTGGCAAATGTTACAACTGTTTTTTTCATTCTTAAAGTTGGTTTTATTCTCAATCCTGTTCTTATATCACCGGAACATGGGCACTCGAGGCTAAATTATTTCAAGTTGTTTATAAATTTTTGCAAGTTATTTATAAATTTACCTTAAAGCGAAAGTGATTTAAGTGAATAGGTATAGAAAAAACAAATGCATAGAACAGATAACATAAATGATAAATGTAATGTCTGTTTAATCTATGAGGGCAGAGTGGTTTTTCATTTTATTAAGTTTACTGGAAATTATTTTCAAAAATCACTAAAATTTATTACGTCCCGTAAAAAGCCCTAAGGGCTTTTTATTATATAGACGATGATCGCCCTTTGCGCACAACCCACTTAGGATTCAAAACAAAGCGGAAAGTTTTCCCTCTGTATGTCAGTATGTGCCAGCGACAAGAATCTCATCGCTAGTTTGATGGAAGGAGAAAATTACTATAAAGTTGATCACTTACAAACAGAAATAGAAAAAGTTGGCAGTGTACCTGTATGTATTGTTTAAAATTATCTTTGTTAAGAAGAGATATCAAGACAATATATGTTAAATATTGATCAATAAATAGAGTTTTTAGATTGAATTTTTGTGACAATAAATGTAATTGTATTTAATACTGTTTGTTCTTTAATACGGCCAATGCCTTTTTAACGAAATTTTTTACAAAAAATCTTGAGTAGCAAAACATGCGTATAAATTGTTAATTCTTTCTTTCTCTACAAATTCACATACAAATTGGTACTTTCATCAATTAAACTTATCAATATCCTTGAGTAGAGGTCTGTTAGTGTGAAAATGTTGAAAACATAATTATCTAAAGTAATAAAAGTAATCATTACCATTAATATATAATTATGGGCCGAGTTGACCCGTGCCGAGTTGGAATAGGGCCGAGCTGACTAGAGGGCCGAGTACGTTTTAGGGTCGAGCTGACCCTGATTCTTCAAATATTTATTTAAACTCAATATTTCTTTTAAAAAATACATACCTTAGTCCTTAAAAGCTTTTTCAGAATAGAATCAATTTAAGAATAAAATGATCAGAAAGTTTAAAGGGTCTCTAGTCCAATATATTAGACGTTACATGCTTGTTATAGTTTTATGTCGGTCAAGCCTGACGTCTAATAGTTATTGCTCATACAGCATGCCCATTCACGCACTACAGTTCGTAATTCACGCACAAAATTCTAGATGCACGCATAAAAATTGTAAGCAGGGGGTACATGCACGCAAAGTAAAATCATCAGAATGAATGTTTGGGATAGCCTATGTACGCTTAATTTTGCCTGGGGACGCATCAAACGACCACAAATACACAAATACGTCAGCGCCTGTCAGTCTATAGGTAGGCGGTCCTATGCACATCGACCCGTGAAGCGATTAGCCAATCAGCGATAACACTTTCAATCATTATCACGCAATAGAGATCAGACTAATGTATACACGTCAGGGCTCTAGCTAGACCAAAATTTTAGGGAGAAGTGACTTCTCCCTCAGTTCCTATCAGGGAGAAGTTTGAAGACATAAGGAGAAGTGAAAAAGTGCTTAGTACATTGATTTGATCTATAAAAAGGAGTTTTACCTATTTATTGATAGTGATATTTGAAGTATAAGTTCTAAAACCCTCTATCATCAGACCATTATAATGTTTTCTTCCTGATTAACTCCACACACCCCCCTCCCTTAAGAAAATATTCATTGTACAACACATACTGGCAAAATTCTCAATGAAAATTAATGTAAACGATACCTTAAGGAATTTTCATTAATAAACAACATTTTAAGTGCTATTGGACACATTTTAACAAAACATATTTTCCTTTTGGTAACTATTGTTTTCATCGTAAAAAATCGGCATCGCGAAAATATGTGACAAATGAAAATTTGTCTGTTTCTTGCAGAAACACTTACAATTCTAGTTGTTGTTGATTTTGATTATATTTAATTAAATATTCAATGATTATTTTTAGATTGTTATTCATCCGCTATTGCAACAGGCATTGTAAAACAAAATTTTCAAATTTGTAGTTTACCGCATAATTTACCGACGTTTTCGTAACTTTTTGAAGACAAAGTTTATCTACTACTGTTTTTGACTTGTCCAAAATTGGTCTAATGTGGGTCAATGTTTTTTAAGTTCTTTAACAAATTTCATCTTTACTATCAAACAGGTATGCTTCTGTGTGTATCAATTTATATGCAAGTGTAAATTTACACGGTCTGTGTGAGGTTGCGTGTAATTACTGTCAAATATGGTAAGAGCAATTCGGGGTGTAATCTTTTTACACTCGCTGATAAAATAGTGGCAGGTGTCGTAAAATTATGCCTAAAAAATGTGATGTTTACAAGGCATCTGCATATCATGTCACTTAAATGTGTTAATTGATGTCAATTATCGGCAGTAACTGCATGTGCGTCGATTTATGCCTGGAGGCGAGGATTAACTTAATTAACATGCACTGTATGATATTTATGTACATGTGGTCAGTAAAAAGATGCGGCGAAATCGTTTTCGCTTTGATGTTCAAACTCGGCGAAGTTCTGACACTTTAGGCGACTATGTCGCCGAAATCGCCCAGTTGCTAGAGCCTTGACACGTGCTGTACATGTAATTACCAGATATAACACGAGGTGATAATTTAACATCTTTGATCAACAGTTGATTGGAAATTAGCAAATTTTACCGACAAAAGGATAAGAATATCGACTATTTACGCCGCAAGTTTAAAGAGTGTTTTCTCAAATTACAAATGAGTGTAATTTTGAATTATTCTCGAAATTTTCGGCACTTTCTAAGCAAAATTTTGCTTTCATTCTTGCAAAAACGTTCTATAAGAGTTTTAATAATTTAACATATTGTGCCGAAATGCCAGGACAACTAACCAAAATACACGTACGCTTTTCTTTGATCCAAAAATTGATCCCGAACATCGGCGATTTCACGTTCGCCGGAATTTCAGAAACCCTAAAATTTCGCAAAAATTCTCAGTTTCCAAGCCAAACATGAGAATGAATTGTTCCTTTATTATTAAATCAGCATTAAATCTTTAAATATCGATCTTCAATTTGCCCCCATTTTGAAGATATTTGCTAAAATAATTGTCGATCGGATGAATCTCTTAACACACTGTGTTTGAAGCTGTACACGATTTTCCTATTCATTCCGCTAAACGCCGCTGCCTATATACATTTACGTTTTTTTTTTACAAATATAAACTTTTTGTCTATAGAGTGGACTTATTTAACCAGAATAAAATTTTGATTTGGGATAAAAGTGAAAGAAAAAAAAAAAAAAAAAAAAAAAAAAACGATTTCCATGTGTTGATGCATTAAAATGAAATGATTTCATGAAAAATATTAACAAAACAAAACAATAATTATACTATATTATACTACATTTATATAAAATGTTCTTACAAACAAAAACATGTTTAAACTTATGTGTACCCCCAGATTTTGAAATGTACCCCCAATTTTCAATGACAGGGGGTACATGTACCCCTACATTTAAAATTGAGTGGGCATGCTGTCATAAACGCATAGCATTATAAATTTTTTTTAAAAATTATATATATATTGTTTTGCCTTTCAAGCTTTATTTCAAAGCTTATCTTCTTTTCTTTAGATTTCATGCTCAATCATAAACAAAAACTCTCAAACAATGTACAAGTTGTCAATTTCTCAGGATCTGAACCCCTGCCCTAAACATCTGAGTTCTGGCACAGGACCAGTTATGGTATCTTCAATGCCATTTTCATTGAAATATTTCTGACATTTGAATTTCTTGTTAATAATAATACGCAATATGTGTCTAACTATCTGTTGGCAACTCAAATTCTTATGAATTCAGGGGTACTTTTTACTAACAAATTGATACCGGTGGTCAATGTCTTCCCCTTGGTAAATATTAAATTTTTCCTTTTCAGCAAATAAAACCAACCAATGGTAATCCAAAGTTTTTCGTAATGGTTCTGGTCCAAAATATTAATGCTTTTTTTTTTTCAGGGATTTTTTTGTTGCTTATTTTATAGCCCATATTTGGTTACATTCCCAATTGAAAATAGTATATTATTTTCCAAATCCACAGGAAAAAATTCCCAATTGAAAGTAACCAAATAAATATTGAATAATAAATTCTAAAAATTTTGAAAATAAGAGCCTCTGCACTGTTATGTTGCTTAAATGTTTGAAGATGCCATCATAGACATTGATTCTTTGCATTCATTTAATCTTTGCAAAATTTAATTCAGACATTTTTTTCCAAATTTTTATCAAAACGTTGCTGAAGTTCCCAATTCCATAGGTATGGGTCATGTTCCCAAAACCCTGTTAGGCCATTTTTTTTTTATATTTTGGTTTACTGATTTTTTCCAAAAAAAGGGTCGGCGGCGGGAAAATTAAAAAAAAAAAAAGGGTTTTCATAATTTTAAATGTGGTGCATACATATACATAGTACTTACCAGAGCAATGAAATTAAATACATCGATTGTCTATTCCAAAGATTGTCTAAATACACAAAAAAAAACTTTGCTCACAATGCCATTGTTTAAAAAACACACATGAAATCTACACACGATGACTAATGACAAGTGGCAAGCCAGCCCTTCAAAAGAATCTGTCATTCTTTGATGTTTACACACTGCTGTGTAATCTGAATCATCAAAGGTGCCAAAACTCAGCTGAATTGCACTGTTAAAAAAAAAACTGTCAAGAAAAGATTACACATGTTCAATTTTAATATTGCCCGATGTGAAAATATTTTTTGTCGGATAATTAGCGGGTCAATTATTGACATAAAAATCTATTAATAGTAAGTGCATTTTTAAATTTTGTTTGTTTGAAAACCTGTATTCAATCTGCTTTTAAAGACTATTTTTTTTTTTTGTTAAATCTGAAAATACTGATCTTGTCAATTGCATCAGATTTCTCTCGCTCTGTCCTTGAATGTAACTGCTTACGTAATTTTGGCGTGTTTTTTTTTTTTTTTTTTTTTAAGTTGTTTACTTTGACATTTTTACGCATTTGGACACCTTAATTGTATTGATGAAATATGATCAA